CGTTGTGAAGCTCTACATGCTTGTTTTCTGTGTGTTTTCCATCTCACTTAAGTAGATGTGTCTGAATGGCATGTTCCTAATTGTAAGCTTTGGTTATCACCAACAGTTCATACTGCTTTCTCTGTGGGAAAGATCCAAGTCACCATAAACAAACAAACTAGAGCAAAATGGACAAGTCTTGGTCAACCACTGGAATTTCATAACACATTTCTATCCAAGAAAAACAGAGGTGAGAATCTTAATGAGCTCTGTGACATGTCAATTTTATGGCTCATTGAACAATAAATCCAGAGATGATCCTGATGATATTTGCCTGTCATTACACTGTTGTGTGTATTTATAGTCAAAATTTAGGCAACTGAGAACAAGAAGATGGTTTTTGTAGTCACAATCAGGATTTCATCTTACACATTCAGCATCACTGGTTCCCCAATAAAACTTTATTGATTTGTGTTACTCTCTCTTCTCTTCCTCTGCGTTCCAACTATTTCCTCAAGGGCCCTTCTATCGGGACTGTAGACTGGTGTCTAAAATGGAGGTGACTCATAATACACATGTTTTCAGACTGCAGCTTCCTGGAGGGACAGTCATGCATGTGGCTGTTGGAAAACATGTCTACCTCAAAGCTATCATTGAAGGTAGCCAACAACAAACCTGAGTGTAGTTCATGCTCACAGATGAAGATGATCTGCTTTGAGAAATCTCCATTGGTGCATAAATGTCACAAAATATAAAATGTTCTGTAAAGTTTTTTTGTTTGTTTTAAATGAACCAATAACAAATATCATATAATAATATATATTATAATAATAATATATATTATAAAATTATATATATATATATTATGTAATAATATATATTATATTATTAAAAAAGCTAAGTCAAAGGTCAGTTAAATTATTCATGGCTTTGTTCAAATGTGTTTATTAACATAGAAATTATTAGCATGCTTGACGACATGTACTTATATTTCCAGGTACTGAGATAGTGAGGCCATACACTCCAGTGGATCAGAATCTGGTTCCAGCTTCCTCACCTTCCTCACATGAGTCAGACCTCTACCTTATGATTAAAGTCTATCCCGATGGAGTTTTCACCCCATATCTGAACAGCCTGCAGATGGGTAGGTCACAGCCAGGTCAAACAATGTATGTTTTTAGTTGAAACACAAGTTCTTTCAGTTATAACTCGTGTTTGTGTGTATCTCATCATGTCTTTCCTGAACCTGCTTGTCTCCTCTAATTAGATTTTAGTACATCTGAGGACATCTCAGGCCTTCCTTGAAAGCAAACATTTACTCATTAAGATGAACAGTTTCTCCTCAGAGCCATTTAGAAGATCTGCGACTTGGACCACTTCCTCCTTCCAATATTTGAACAGTTGAAGAAAGCCTCTTATATTCATCAGTACATGAATTTATGTTACTGAAAAGTAGGTCAACATCAAACAAAACAATAATAACTATTAGAGTTTTCCTGTTAATAAATCTAGTTTTAAAAAGGTTCTGTAAAGGTTTTGTTGTGAAAAGCATGTATTCTAAACTGATAGACCAAAAACGTGCAAGCACACGAGCAGCAAATCAGCCAACATAAAGCAATCAGAGTTTTTTTTTTTTATTCTTTTTTAGCACTAAAAAAGAGACACGTACCATCACAGACTAGAAGTGAAAACAGGGGCCCCGAGTCTATATATATTAAAAATGGTAAGATTCGTTGCTTATCATCTAAGAACACGCCCAGTGGTCATCCAATGTCCCGCGTCACCTAAATCTCTATTTTCTTGGAGATGGGAGTGAGGAGATGATTCAGTTTCTGTATCTGTTACAAATACAAAGGCTTTTGTGTGAAAGTATGAGAATGTAATGTGTGTAGATGCATATGGGTGTACTTGACCTTGGTAAGCGCCTCAACAGTTTATACTTTGTTGCTATTTGATATTTGATCCCTATGAATGAGTTTTCTGATTTCCCAGGTGAAAATATCTCCGTCAGTGGTCCAGAAGGTACCTTCAGTCTCCGCCCACTTCGGGATGTCACACACCTCTATCTGTTAGGAGGAGGCACAGGATTCACGCCAATGGTTCGCCTCATCAGCTTGGCTCTACGAGAAGTTGACACAATCAGGTGGGAACAATCAGTTTACTCCATATTTATTCAGTCAGAAAATATGACTGATGACAGAGCAGCAAAGGTTTGATTTTCAACTAGAACTCTTGTTGCTGTCTGCTGTTGCGGAAACCTTTTATCTTTTGCTCCCCGTTTGTCGGGTTAATGACGCGCTGCTGTGAACTAGGCGAATCTGGGAGAAAATTACAAAATATGTAATTTGAATAATTTGGGTTCTGTAATAACATCAACATTTTCAGATTAATATCTGCTTCTTGAAAGCAACATTCCAAGTATGTTTTTGATGAGGGTCTAACATTACAACATAATATAAAGATTAAACAAGTCAATTTTACATAATACTGCCCCCTTAAAACATCAGTTTTTTGTGGTCTTAAATTTTGTATTTTTTTATCTACTAACTATAATCATCAAAATTCTTAAACATAAAACTTGGAAATATTTGCTCTGTAAAGTGACAATTTCACTTTCTGAGATGACTTGCAAAAAATATTGCATTTTACACAGCATTCAGACTTTTCAAGATGTACTAGCATTTTGTTTTGCTGTTGTCAAATTATCACTTAAATCTGTATGTTGACAGGACAACAAAGCTGCTGTTTTTCAACAAACAGGAGGAAGACATATTGTGGCGCTGCCAACTGGATGATCTGGCAGCTAATGATGAACGGTAAAACAAAGTGGTGATATGTTTCTATAAAATGTTCCTCTTTCTCTGGGAAATGAGAAAAAAATCTGTAAAAGTTTCAGTTGGTTTTGTTTGGACATGGAGTCAATTTACTCTCCAAACTGTAATCTGACACATCGGTGTACAGTTTTGGAACATTGGAACATAACTAAACTAGAAAGCAGCTATTTTTTCTTGTTCCCTTGCTCTCTCAACATTTGTTCAGAAAGTCATGGTTTTGTGCCCTGTCAGGTTTCAGGTGGAATACATCCTCTCTGAGCCCTCTGCCAGCTGGACAGGCAGGAAGGGTCGGGTTAATGAGACCCTGCTGAATGACCTTCTTGTCAGGCCAGATGGGTCAAAATGCTACGTTTGTGTGTCTGGGCCATCTGCTTTCACAGAGCAAACATTAGGGTATGGAATATTCTAACCATTTAATAATAGTTCGTCAGTCTTATCCAAATAACTAATTACTAAAGTCACTGACAAATGCTTTGGCTTTTTCTTCTTGTTTTTTAGTATTAAATCTCAAATACTTCATACGTTTCAAATGTTTTTATATAAAAATGATTTTATGTACATTGACATTTCTGCAGCATGAGCATCTCAGAGCTGCTTAGTTCTCAACCACACCTCCCTCTTTGGTTCTGCTATTCCAGCTGAGTGCTCTTAAAGCAATCTTGTGATCTCATCAGATTGATCTTAAAAGGAAGAAGTTAAGCAACATGTTGCATAACTATTTCGGTACTATGATTTGAAAAGAGTCTTCTTAAACACAAAGTGACAGTATCCTTTGAAACCACCAATCTCAGTTTTTGGGTTTATTATCAAATAATCAGGATGGAGATTTCCTTATAAACACATTCAATTTTATTCAGTAGATGAGTGTGATCTTTGGCATTATATTCCATTGAAATATTTGTGGTTGTGACAAAATATGGAAATGTTCAAGGAGCATGAATACTTTTGCAGGCCTCTGTAAGTAAATAATATGCTGAAGAACATAACGTGTGCATCACAACATAATGTGTTCTCATCAGGTGTTTTTGTTTTCTTTGTTGGTTTCTCAGATTGTTAAAGCAGCTTTGCTTCAGTGAAGAGGAATGCCACGCCTTCAAAGGCTGATGAGCCCTTCCACCTGAAAAGATGGAGGACAAAAAAAAACTACTTTTATTTAAAGCTGTGTTTGTGAAACATAAAATGAAAGCATATATTTCTATGCACCAATAAATGTTTAAAAACATATGCAGCCACCACTCTATGCCTGGTCAGTGGAACCTGGACACTTCTCAGGGATGGAACACAGTGACATGATATGACGGACTAAAGGTTCATGCAACATAGGAAGAAAAAAACATTCCTCCACAGCTGCTGATTTTTCACCAAACCTTCAAGTTATTTTTTGTGTGTTTACTGACTGGGGTTAGATTTTTTTTATGTCAAGTTTATTTTGAGAAATACTATTTTTAACAAAGTGAAGCTGCTCAGTTTGTAATAAAGTTATAAAACTTTGTTGCTCACCATAAAGGTAAAACTTTTGTGTTATTTGACACCAATAATAATTGGTCTGGGGGACTGCATTCCTTGAATAATCAGAGGTGTACCGCAGCGACATGCGACTGAAGAAGATCCAGAACGTGCTGGCCAACATTGCCCAGTTGCAGCTGCACACCTGCAACAAAGCGCTGAGCCAGCCTTTGCTGGCCAAGGCATGACGTCACGTCCTGCCACCAACAGACACTTTCCTTTTTGCTGGTCTGTATTTTTAATCACATATTCAGTAGATTAAAAGTTCCATCAGCTGCAACTTTTAATCTAATAGTTTCAGAACCATCTGACAGGTTTCATTCCAATATATATTAGCATGAGCTTGGTTGACCATATCGACTATCATTCAAAACTGGACCCTCTGAATTCAAATAATGGGAAAGGGTAGTTACAGCAAAAAAAAAATAAAAAAATAAAAGGGTTTATCTCGTTTAAATTGTACTGTTTGTAATGGTAAATAATCTTCTAAACTACACCTATTTAGTTCTGCTTTTTGAGCTGAATGCTCTGGAAAGTCTTGTGATCTCATCAGATTGATCTGTAAAGGAAGATTTGTGGTTGCATAATTATTTCTGTAACTATCTTTGTACGTGTAAAAACAATATATTTAAAACATGCCAGTATGGCATGTTCAAATAGAGTTAGCACAAAGTGACGGTGACGGAAGAAAAATGGAATGATTGTTAATTTTCTTTTAACACCTCAGAATACTGAACAAAGGTTTTAGACTAGAACAATGATTAATTATTGTGTTGTGGGTGAGTTTCACAGTAAAGTGTAAAAAACTGCTTTATTTCAGCAAAAGAAGTAGAAAATTGGGATCTAAGGAATTGATACTACATTGGAGTGTTTTAAAGTTTCATTTAGATCTTTTACTTATTAATCTATTACTTATTACAAGGATATGTCTTAACTGTATTGAATTCAACAATTTTCAGCACAAAAAAATAAAATTTTCACAACTAACACGATGATCTGTAGTGTGCACTTCTGCGAGGAGGTTTACAATGAACGAGACAAAATGAGTGCAATCAGCTGATCGGTGGCGTAAACAATGCAGCCAAGTTGTGCTCGGCAGAGTATAAAAAGTATCTCAACAACAAAGAAAAAGATAATGTTGAAGATAGATCAACATTGTTGAATATACTCTTCTGGGAAAGTAAAATAATTAAAGTGGTAAAATAAAATAATTGAAAAATTATTTAAAAAAAATATTGAAAAAATAAAAGCAACAGGCTGCATGCAAAAACTTGAAAATGCCTGTCTCTGTTAAAAGCACTGATCTGAGAACAGTATCTTCTATGTGCTGGCTAACATTAACGCCACTGTGAAGTTTCCATGGTTACAGTAAGTACTCTACAGGAGACGGGCTAGATCCCCAGGTTCGAGAGTAGGGAGGACCGCTCCGTATTTCTGCAGATGTCTCAGAATGTCCAGTATGGACTCCAGCTCTGAGCGGAAAGCATCCAGCTCTCTGCTCTTGTCTCGAGCCAGGCGCCACCACCGCTCCACTTCTGACTGCAGGTCAGCTGTTGACATCTGATACGTTTCGGCAACAACCTGCAAAGACAGGTCACATCCAGACCTCTGTATATATTAAATAATCATGGAACTGTTTCTGTATCCAGTTTGAATTTCTATTGTCAGGAGTTTTCCTGACAGGTGCTGTTATTCATCCTTCTTTTGACTTTAGAAATGACAGGAACAAAACAGCAATATGGTCTTGGTACATCATCTCTCAGGCATCAGATCCTGGCAGCTTGGATCACGAGCAGCGAAACAAGTCAGCATCTACCAGATAATGTGTGTGCTGTGTACCTGCTGCAGCTCCTTCTGTCTATGCTCATGTCTGAGCTCCATGCTAATGATCTTCCTCTCCAGACTGCACAGAAGTTTCAGCTCAGAGCTCTGAGCTTCTTTAGCTTCCTTCAGTTCCTGGAGCAGTCTGGTTAACTAAGCATGAGCAGAACATTAGAGTAAGTAAGGAGGTGAAGTCCTGATGTTGACACAGCAGCATGGGTAAGAGGCTAATGTGGAGAAGATGTTAGTATCATTCCTCATTACAGATCGGTTCAGGTTGTTTACTAGTGCCCTTTCACCTTTATTGAAGTAAAACAAGTCTAAAACTGTTGTGTATAGTAGACTCTGTGTAGTCAAGATAGTCAAAAGTCTTGAAGTTAATTTTTGTGTACTTCATTTGATCATAATTTCTTAATTGATGTTATTTATTCAAGATTACATGGCTTAGAGAAAGAGGCTATTCATTAAATATTTGACTGTAAGGTTGAACAATAGTTAATAATTGTCTTGAAAAAGAAAATTTCTCATAATTATTAGAGTTCTGAGCTAATAACACTGCCAAACACTGATACATGTCCTCATGATTTGCGAAAATGTGGCAAATAGAAGATAATAAAAATGGAAGATTGGCAAATAGAAAGCCAATGTAAAAATAAAAAATACAGCAAACATGGAAATACACTATATTGCCAAAAAATATGCCTTGAGAGCATTGACTTTCAAGGCAGGTGGGTTAAGGCTCACCTGCCTTCACTCACTTAAGTGACATCTCATTCCATAAGGCTCCCTTCATAGCTAGTGCAGCTTCAGCTTTTCTAGGAAGACTGTCCACAAAGTTTAGGAGAGTTTACGGGGATTTTTGACCATTCCTCCAAAAGCACATTTGCGAGGTCATATACAAGAAGCCAATCTCGCTCTCAATCTCCATTCTAGTTCATCCCAAAGTTTGAGGTGTGCAGGCCAGTCAAGCTCATCCACAGATGAGCACTGATGCACTCGTCTGTGCATCAGTGCTTTTTGACTCCTTGTCATCCACACCAGACCTTGCTTTGTGCAAGGTCCATCAAAGGTCCATCAAGGTCCATCTTTGTGCACATCCCAACTGTGTTTCATTGCTTTTTTTTTATACACCTATCGCCATGGAAGTGATTCGAACACCTAATTCCGATATTTTGGATGTGTGATCAAATACTTTTGAGAATATAATGTAGATCAGATGAGTAACACTGTGAACACACAAACCCCTCAATAAAAGAAATAAGCTACTGTGTGGCGCCATATTTTGAAACGGTGTATTGAGGAGAAGGGGAGTGGTAGAAGCTGCTCACCTGCTTCTGCATCGCTTCTTCTCTGTGCCTGGAAATGGAGAGAGCCTCTTTACATTCCTGCAGCTCCTTCAGCTGCTGCTGTAGGTGTTTCATTGCTATCTGACAGAAGATGGAGAGCTGAAGCAATGGAATGGAACTAACATTATGCTGGTGGGTGAGTGAAGCTGTACCTCCTGGCTGTTGAGCTTATTGGTCAGATCTGCCACCTTGGAGGATGACTGCTCCATGGCATGAGTGGCTTGCAGATACTCCTGCACCCTGAGTTGTTCAGTCTTCACACAGGAGAGCTGCTCTGCAAATTCTTCTTTCAGCCTGCAACGTCCCATTCAATTGTGTTTAATCACAGTGGTGATCTCGGGCCTCATGTATAAAGTGCACATGCGCACAAAAAAGGTGCGGTGCCATATTTTACAGTTTTGCTGTTTTTACTATTTATTCTTATAAATAGAATATTATTAAAATATTCCCCAATAACCACAAAGGACTCTCAGGGACGTTGTCTTTTTGAAACTCCTGGCTGAACGCTTGGACAACTTTATTTTGGAATTTTTCCTTTAAAATGTATTATTTTAAATTTTTGATCATTTAAAATAATAAATTATGAGATAATATTATGTGCCCTAAAAACATCTTTTAAATAAAATATATAACTGTTATTCAAATAACATGCCATGGTTATTGCTTCACCTAGTGGCAGCCTTCAGGGTATTTATTCTAATTTACATATGTGAAGGGCGGACCAGCAGCTGCATTCTATTTCCCACAAATTGAATTTATAAAGGATGCTTTATACATCTGATTTTGTTTTGCACCACACTTTTCTAAATTTGTCCGTAAGACAATTTTTAGTGTGAAACTGTGAACTCTTTCTTGCATGAGGCCCCTGTAGTGTCAGTAAGTTGATTCAGATATACAGACCTGCCTAGCTCCTCCTTTGCTTGAACTGCATTGGCCTTCAGTTCCTCCTTCTTCTGCTCACTCTGCAGCTGAAGCAGTTCCACACGCTGTCTCAGAGCCTCGTTCTCTTGCTGCAGTTCAGAGACATGGTTTCCTAACAGCAGGAAGGACATCCACCGGACAGGAAGTCAAAAGTAGAGCTCATGACCTCTACTGCCTCATTAAAGTAAAGGTACTTAAGGTAGCTTAAGTAGCCGTGAGATGGACTGGCAACCTTGTCCAGGATGACCCTGCCTCTCGCCCGTTGACTGCCAGAGACTTCTGAGTGAAGTTGGCCCCCCACCTTCTTCAAATCAGACAAAATTTGCGCTGGTTTGGGCAGCAAAATTTTTTGTTTGTGCTGCTTTGGCTTTGAAGATATTAATTAAAGTCTAAAGGTCAAAAGGTCAACCAGCCCCTCCCCCTTTCAAAAAAATCAAACAAAATAGGTGTCAATCAACTTGGCTATATTGGTGCAGCAAAAATTTCCGTTTGTGCTCCTATATTCTAAAGATATTAAGAAAAATGTTTCTAGATGTTTCATCAAAGGTCACTGATTTGAAGTCGTGAAAATAAGTGTTGATGATGACGGTCGATCATGAAATTGAAATGAAAACAGCAGACTAGATGTTTTGCTCCAGTCCTACCTTTTGTATTTCAACAGTACAGTTTGTCCAATAGGGCCATCTGGTGATCAGAAACTAAAATACAGGTCACTGATCATCATGAAAGTTGTGGGAAGTGTGGAAAATAAGACCTAGTGCCAAGTGAATTTCATCAAAATTAGAATATTCCTGGTCATAGGAGTAGTTTAATTTAATAGTTTAATAGTTGCTGAACTTCAGCATGATATTCACTGACCTTTGATGACCTCTAGAAATTTTTTTTTTAATATCTCTAGCAGCAGAAACCACCATAAACAATTGATTGACACCTATTTTGCTTGATTTCATAAAAGTGGGGGGGCTGGTTGACCTTTAAACTTTAATTAACATCTTCAAAGCTGCACAAACGAAAATTTCTGCTGTACAAACCTGCACAAACTAGCACACATGGGGTCGAGTTGATTGACACCCATTTTGTCTGATTTGACCTTTGATGACCACTAGAAACGTTTCTTAGATCTTTCAAATTCGACCAATAATGTTATGAAATGGCTTTTTGTGAGCCAATAAGAGCGACTTGAGCTCGTTTTGACATACCTGTACTCTTTTTCTGACCTGTAAAAGTCAGAATATTTCTGACTTTTCAACTAAATCTAAAGCCACCGATGTGACTTTATATAAGGCATTTGGGGTTTATTTTGACATGAATCTACAAGCTGCATTCATAACCACGTGCAATATATGCGTCTTTAATGTGTCAAAGTCAGGCTCTGTGTAATGATCATGCGTAATGATCTTTACAGGACTTTTTCTTACCAACGGAGAGCCACATTGTCAGAACGTGTCAAAACTGGATATGTTTCTGCAGCAGAACTTCACAACTCACAGGAGTGGATGATTATGGCTGTAAGAGTGCTGGCAAGTTTTGGATTTGAGAATACCGCAAACCTTTTGTCATCCGCTGCTATAGTCTGAGCAAGGAGATTATGAGTATGTTCTGAAGAGCGTACAAGGGATGGCAGGGGGGCAAAGAAGGAGGGGAGCGGAGGGTGGGGGGACATCACAGGGGGACTAGTTTGGCATGTAGTATGACCAGTATGACTATATTAAGTGATGTAGAGCAGAGTCAGACCTGTGAACACAGAGGGCTGGTAGGTCTTCTCATACTGAGCTGCAGGAAACCTTCCTGCTTGTGAGCTGCTATCTGCTGCAGCAGCAGATTCCTGCGCTCTGCTCTCTGCTGAATAGCTCTCTGATCGCTGGCAGGGCATAGACAGCATGGTTCTGGGCTCCCTCTGCAGCCTCTCTACGGTCCAGCTCGGCTCCTGAATGGTGCGGCTCCCGGCCAGCTCCTGGTTCAGCCACTCGATCCGGCCTCCAAAAGCCGCCTCAGCTTGGCGCTGGTGTCGCCCTGGACTCTGTTGTGCCTGGAAGAAGTTAGTTTATCAATCATTGAAGGGATTAGAAGTACAATACATTAAAGACCCCAGACCTTTCAGGTCGTCTAGTTCTGGTCTGGTCTGAATCCAGAACCAAAAATGTATAATAGATCTATTATATGATTTTATAATAGACTTCATATGAGATCTCTATAACTAAAGTAAATAAAGTATATCATTCACAATTTGGATGTATATTAGCTTGATAATTTTGATGATGTCATTTGGCAAAATGTTATGTTTATTTACATTGCATGACCAATAAACATTGTCATTGGAGCTATTGCTGAAGTGTGAAGCACCATAGATATCTGCTTTCTTCATCTTCAGTCATTCAGGCTGACCTTGTGTTTGAGCTGCTGCTGCAGAGACTCTATCTGGTCCTGCAGAAATTTGTCTTTCTGCTGGTGTCTGTCCTGGACCCGCCGCAGCTCCTCTTCCAGAAGCTGACATTTAGACATCCATGCATCTGACTTCGCCTTTGCCACCCTGGTCGCTGCTGAGGGCGGATGTTGTTTCAGCTGCTGCTCCAGTTCACATATCTGTTGCTCGTAGCGTAGCTACAGAACACAACACACATATACTCAGCATGTGCCGGTCCGTTTTCTGACACTTTCTTGCATCATACTAATCATTTTCTAATGACATAATTTTTTATGTTATTTGTTGTGATGAATTTAAATGAGAGTGTCAAGAGAATTTTGACCAAATAATTCCTTTGTATAAATAAAGGTTTTTACATAAGCATCTAAAAGTGACAGAGGTAGGCGTCATAGATTTTCTCGTGTTGCAGCTGCAGCTGTGACCTTGATCTGGTGGAACTGCTGCTCTATGGCCTTCAGGGTTCGCTTGGCCTCTTCATTGTGACTTTCCAGCTCAGACTCCAGCTGCTGAATCCTTCGCTCCTGCAGAACATTGACTGTGCTGGGGTGGTACAACCCGCTGGAGGTGGCCTTCTCCCCGCCAGTGGCCGTGGCTGCAGCATAGATGAGGGCTGGTAGCGAGTTTGGGTTGCTGCTTCGCAGGATGTGCTCCAATTCTTTGACCTGGTGAGCACAAGAGCAGTGAGCTGTACAGCAGATGCATAAAGGTGAGTTGGCTAGTCTTATAAATGTGGCTGGTGTGGATGAACCTGCCGCTGCAGATCCCGCATTCTCTGCACATAACTGCTTCTTTTGCCTACTTCCCTCTTCAGGTTTTCCACCTGGAACAAAAACAAGCTACTAGACACTGCCTGCAAGGCATTCTGCATACTCTACTTGAGTTGTAGCTAATAGCACAGTTTAGTTTTGTTTAAATGGTTCATTGGAACAGTCCCTCAGTGGCCAGGTTCTGATCAGACACGACCAACTGGAGGTTTAAGTAGATAGAAGAGAGGAATAAAAAGAAACAGAACCAAAGATCCAAGAAAACTTTCTATGTTAGAGAAAGATAAAGAGTTAATTAAAGTGATTTCTTTTTTTTTTCCAAAACGTTTTTTGCGGCGCTAGTTGCTCATATTTTTTACAGTAGACAGACAGAAAAAAGGGTGAGGAGAAGGGGGAAGACATGCGGCAAAGGTGACCAGGACCAGGAGTTGGACCTGTGACGTCCGCGTCGAAGACTGAGTCGTGCTAACCCCCTGCGCCACCACAGCACGCCCCAAAATGACTTTATCTAATTATTACACCCAAGACAAAGAGAAACTAAAATATTTCCCAAAATAAATTGGCATGCAGTCATGTATTATTTGTGTATACATACAGTACTTGGATTCAATTTCAACTGAATGTCTGATGATACTATCACTCCAAATAAGAAAACATAACCTGACAGTTTGAACATAGTCACATCTGCAGGGAAAAAATCCATATGAGACTCAGCTCAGAGACAAACACCTTTTTATCTCCACGGAACCTTACATTTGCTGTTCTCAAATTAAAGACAAAATTCCTTCCACAGTTTGGTCTTCATTTCATAAACACGCAGAATGAGGGAGAATCCCCACCTGTTCTTTGAGTTGGAGTATCTCAGCTGTTGCTGCTTTTAGCCGGCCAGCATCTCTGTCCAGCACCTCCTGGTTCTCTTCAAACCACTGCAGCTTGTTCTTGAGAGCTGCCACCTCCTCCCTGTGCTCCTGCTGCAGGCCCTGCAGCTCAGACATCTCATCTCCCCCTGAAACACATCAAGCCAGCAGTCTGTCTGGAAGGACTCTCAGCTCCAAGAGACCCAGGGTTTGAATCAGGTGATGCAGATGTTCATCATGTTAACAAGTTTAGGACTGAAGAATGGAGCCATGTTAGTACAAAGTTCAGCCATGAGCTGCTATGACCTGAGGTGGAGAAGGCCTGCGCTTTGGCCAGCTCCTGCTCCTGTTTCATCAGTTGCAGCTCCACTTGTAGGGACTGCTTCTCCTGCTCCAGCCTCCTGTTCTCCTCACACAGCCTGGCCTCGTTCTGCTGCACACATGCACACGAGCACACACACACGCACACACACACATTATACCGTATTTTCACGACTATAGGGTGCACATAAAAGTCTTAGACTTCCTTCGAAATGTGTGGTGCGCCTGTGTGTTGTTGTAAGGCGGACATGGTGTTCATAGAGAACATCATGAGAACGGGGGAGGTGTGGGCGTTGATTGCATATAAAAGAACGGGTATGCGCATTATGCAGAACATCGTTGTTTTAACAACCCTGAAAATGGCAGAGACACGCTTATGAATCACAGTTTAAACTGAAGTCCATCAGCTACGCAGAGAAACATGGAAATCGAGCAGCTGCGAAAGAATTTAAGATTAATGAATCAATGGGTCACAAGTGGAGGAAGCTGGAAAATGAGCTCTGACAGGTCAAGAAGACGCAGCTGAGTTTCCACAGACATAAGGCGAGGAAAGACTCGAGCGGGAGAAGCGTTTCGACGGTCACCATTCGACTAAAAGCAGTAACGCTAGCAGAAGAAATGAAAATGGAACATTTCCAAGGAGGTCAGCCTTGGTGCTTTCGTTTCATGAAACGGTGCCATTTTTCCATCCAGTTGCTATGGTAGCGCAGCAACTTCCAGCGGATTATAATGAACCATAAAATGCACCATACAATCACTTTAAAAACAAAGTTAAAGACCTGGTAGGTGTTGATTTGAGCCAACAAATCAGAGATGTGTTTAGTGTGATCCATTGTGCACACGTTGCACACAGGCCTGGAGCTTCTTCTCAGCTGCTCCCTGATGAAGATGGGAATCACAAACATTTTTGTGAGAAAAAACATTTGACAAAAATAAAAGCTCTTTCAGCTAACTGCTCTGTTGAGCAAACAGTTACCTGGTGTCAACCAGCTGGCTGAGCAGCCCCTGGTTCTCATTAAACATGGCGTCCTGATTGGCTTTACTCCTGCTCTGCTCAGCCTTCATCTCTACATAGAGCTTCTCATTCTCCTGTAAGACACATTCAGTGTTACTGCACACTGCCAGAACTTTCGTAGTCACTCTGAAGCACATATCCTGACTGTGTGGTTCAGGTCATTGTCATACTGGAAGATCCAGCAACAATCCATCCTCAATGTTCTTACTGAGGGAAGGAGGTTGTTCACCAAATTCTTGCAATACGTGGCCCCAATCATCCACTCCTTAATACAGTGCACTCGTCCTGTCACATGTGCAAAAAAACACCCCCAAAGCATGATGCTTCCACTCCCATGCTTTACAGTAGGAATAGTGTTTTTCTTCATCCTCCAAACAGAGAGTGTAATTAATGGTGCGTTGATACCAAAAGTGTCAGACGCGTCAAAAATGCGTCCAACGCTTTAAGTTCGATGCATGTGCACTTTGAATCCAGACGCTTGAAATTTTGTTCTACACCTAGTTTTGCACGTTCAACGCCTATGTGCAAAACGTCTGATGTCAAGGATGCATCAGACGCATCAACTCTATTCATTGTTTTCTGTTGAATGCTCTTCATGTTTCAAATACTCAAAACGCTCCACACTGTTCAAATTTGGCTAGACACTCGAAACGCACCACAATTGCACCTCCATTTACACTGAATGTAAACCAGACGCGCCTGACGCTCAAAACGCTTTTGGTGTACATGCACCTTAAGATCAAAAAAGTTCTATTTTGATCTCACACATAACTTAACTTTCTCCACATAACTTTCTCCTATGGCTCCTCTCAATCACCCAAATGGTCATGTCACAATAACAAATTTTACTGAATGAAAATGTGTTATTGTGTTTGTATTAGGTTTTGACCTATTAGGTTTTTGCAATAAACGATAATATTGTTGTTTTGAGACCGTTTTCAACTGATATAATGGTAATGACAAAAGACTACAAGAACACAAGAAAATTAATTATGAAATCATCCTGTTTTTGGTAGAAAGAGAGAAAGAAATACATCATGCCAATGGAAAATATTTAACTTGTTTTAATTTGATTATTGATTATTGTAACATACTTTGTCATGGACAAACTTAAGACGGGCCTAGACGTTTGCTGATTTAAGCAGGGGAACTTTCCTTGCCATGCATGATTTTAAACCATGACATCTTAGTGTATTACCCACAGTAACCTTGAAAACAGTGGTGCCAGCTCTCTTCAGGTCATTGACCAGTTCCTCCCATGTAGTTCAGGACTGACTTTCCATAGATTTCATCAACCCTTTTGGTGCATTTGGATTGGCTAGCACTGTTGCTGTGCCTGTTTCATTGGCTATCTGCTTGGACAGATGATCTCATATCCATCACTGTCTTAGAGACATTATGCCCTGGTGTCTGTTCTACAGTTCCCCTACGTCCATTGCCTGCACAACCTTTTCTTTGAAAAGTCAAAGTTGTTCAACAATCTGTTGGTAGAACATCATCTCTGCCCTCCTGATAGTTCCTTTTTTCCCCTAACCTACCATTTACCTCCAACACATCGGTGATCTTTAACTGCAATTACAGCATTTACACGTTCAATGTCAAAATCACATTCATAACCCTTTTTTAGTTTCTTTAATTTAGCATGCATTTATAATATTATTATAACCATAACTTATTAGTTATTCTTATTATAATCTTAATGTGAGTTATTACAGATGTTTTATGAAAAGAAACCAAGAATAATCTATTATTATAATTATTTGATACCATAGTTACAGTTACTTGGTTCTTGTAAGTGTTCCTACAAGTGTAAATATAAGTATATTATTGCAAGTAAAAAAAATTAATATAAGTATTTTACTTTAAATCTTATCCAATTACTAAAAATGTTTATATTTAATTCTTTAAGACTTTCTTGCTGTGAAATAAAGAATAGTCTCAACTATTTTTATAAATCTGCAGGCTGGAAACTTATTTCCTCTTTTTTCAGAAAATCTTCTCTTCCTGTTTCATCTCTCTCTGTCTGACTATGCTTTCTTATGATTAAATAGAAAAAAAGAAGTATAATTAAAGCAAAGTTTGCAGGAGAGGAACCTTTGGTTGGATCCTTCAGGCAGCTTCGAGCCAATGTTGCGCAACAACAGCCTGTAGCCCTTTCCAGCCTTGTGGCGATCTTCAATCTTGTGTCTTTGGACAGCTCTTCTGTCTTGCCATGTTGGCATTTGTCAGCTTCATTTTGAGTTCTCCTCTTACGGCAGTGTCTGAGTGTTCTGCAGGTGGATGCTGACAGATTTGATGTGTGAATCCTACCAGTATGGGTGTCCTGCACTGAAAAATTCAGACTTGTGCAACTATTTATTATGTGGAGTGGACAGGAGTCTTTATGCAGCTAACAACCTAAACAGGTGCTTCTAATTTAGAATAATAAGCAAATAAGCAAAGAGAAGACTTTTTAGGTCTTTGAAGTCCAGAATTTTTGCTGATTGGCAAGTGTTCAAATACTTATTTGCAGCAGTAACATAGAAATAAATTCTTTAAAAAAATCATACATTGTGATTTCCGGATTCTTTTTTTTTTTTTTTAGATTATGTCTCTCGATTATAGATTATGTCCGAAGATGAACATTTCAGACCCCAAAACACCGCTCTCTCTACCGACTTGTCTTGTACATTCTGCGACTCCTTCTCTCATTCCCAGTGCCGTAGCAAGTGCCACACCAGCGTCTGTGCTGCTCGCTTCTCCTCTTAGGTCCACGCTTGCCACTCTGGTTGAATGAACATTTGATTTTTTTTTTTTTTATGATTTCTAAGTGGAAGAACTTGAAAGTCGCAGGGTGTTCAAATACTTATTTTTCTCACTGTAACAGCAAAAGCCTCGGAGTATTAACTGCAGCGTCTGTAGAGTGGACGTCTGTAGATGAAATTTTTTCAGGTTTGAAAATCTACAATTTCTGAAATTCAAGAGTGGACCATGAGTGGTGGGAATGTGATGTGCTTCAGTGATAGACTTCTTTTATCATTTCATTAAATGAATTGTATATGCCTGGATCATTATGTCTACTTCTGGTGCAGAATTATAATGCATGTCTCATGTCAATGATATAAAAACTAGATTAAATGTTACATGTGTGTTCAGACTGCAGACTAATTGTGTTCTTAAAACCTTTTTTGGTCTACACAACACAGAGATAGAAGAGTAGTTAATTCCCTCTCTGTATGAAGAGAGGGAATTAAATGCGAATCAAGCTCAGGTTAACAACAGACATTAGGATATGTTCAGGAGGAATGGTTAGGGACAGACCTGCTGATAACCTTTGATGAGTATCTCCTGCTCCTTCATTTCTTTCTCTATTAGCTGGATTTTGTCCTCAGTGGCAGGATTTGCAGCCTCCAGTCGCCATCTCTGACTGGCTTCCTCTGTACTGCGCAGCTGAGTGGAACAAAGCAAACATTCACAAATGCGTGGGAATAAATGGGCACTGAATATCACAACAGTCCTGACTATGTTCATCACTCTGTGTGTTTGGAAACTGGTTTCCATGCTGAAGCTAGCTGAATGCTTTCAACTGCAAAACGACTGCTAACACTGCCATTATAACCCAGATCCAGTGTTGTGTGTGTGCGTCCGTGCGTGTGTTCGTGCGTGTTGGTTAGCCAACCAACAACCAGAAGGAGCCACTCTGGTTGAATGAACAGATTATGCCATGTAAACTGGTATTTATGTGAGTAAATATCAGCTGGTGAGTGCAGGTGAATACATAGTTTCTGCTAGAAACTATGTATTCTAATGTGAAGTGTGTTTTGCACCTTGCTCTGCAGCAGGTAGTTCTGTTGTCTTAGTGAGTTGGCCTCCTCAACATCATCCTTCATCATCTTCAGCTCGTTTTCCTTGTGGGCCAGCTGTGCTCTTAATGCCTCAATCACAGAACTGTCCTGGATTGTTTGGAAGTCAGAACACTAACTGAACAAACTCAACACAGGCAACATAAACCTTAGGTAACCAGCAGATCCAGCCCAGACTGACTGATTCTGTGTCATGTACACAACATGGCCTAACTGTACTGATGAGTGCAGGTGAATACATAGAATACATGATATTCATTGTGGTGAATTGTTGTCTTACTGCGATCTGAGGAGGGGCTTGTGTACAGCTGCAGTCCTGAGGCACAGCATGATGGAGATTGCTGGTGGACTGAACGGACGCCACTGGCTCACTGCTTACCCTCACACTTGTCTCTGCTGGCCAAACACACCATATGTTCACAGATACAGCCAACAGTATCATTATAAAGCAAATGTATCGTTGAGATGTTCAGGGACAACAGCGACCTGCAGCACCATCACTGTCTTGTTCTTGTTTTTTTGTAGATTTGTTTGTTGTAGGGGGGGCTTTGGGTGTGGGAGAAGCTTTGCTCATCTTCCCAGCGGCCTTGCTGTCCCCAAACCTGCCTCTGGACGGAGCAAGAAGAAGCTTCCTTTCAGACAGCATGCAGGAACGGAACACAGAGGAGCCCTGGGATGTCTGTGAAGGGGGATGTATAAAGCAATTGAATTTCAAAAGGAGCGTGCACGTGTCTGCTTTTCAGGGTTTGGCATGTTTTTTTGTTTTTTTTGCGTTGCCAACCAGTGACAGAGTTTGGGGAAAATGTTTATTCTGTTCCTGCATCAGTCTTTCCACTTCCTTCCTGATACTGGAGGTCAGGTCATGGTCGGGGTGTTCTGTAATTCTGTAGTGGCTCTGTCCAGGTTGCTCCAGGTCCATCGCTGATGGAGTCACACGTGGGAATGTCCTCAGTTCCTGACTGAAATCAGTTCATCAGATAGAAATGGCCATCATCGCTGATTAGATAAAAGTACAGTATACATGGTTCCTAGACAGCTGCTTCATACTTTCCAGTTGGTAATTAGTGTGGGTATATGCTGCCACTTCTATAAATATTAATTGATTGTTTCATGAAATCAAGGGAAAAAACCTGATGCATGTGTATCAAATCTCCTTTATTGGTTGTAAATGACATTATAAACTCCTTTAAGATTGATTAATAAACGTATTAAACAATCTTAGCTACGCCTAAGATGGTTTATCCAGTTCAATAATCAATCAATTGTGACACTGACTGTTCTTTCTTTCTTAGTCGACATCAGTAATAATGAGACTATATTATGCTTTATAATCCATCTGCGAGTTGTTCATGACAACTCGCAGATGCAAACTCCAGTTTGTATAGTGTGATAACTGTTTAATGTTTGGATATAGAAGTCCATGGATCTAACCTGACAGGCTGCAGAGTAAAGCCTTTGGAGTGGTCTTCTGCTCGTATGGGCCTAATCAGCTCCTCTGCTGTGGGTAAGTCTGAAACATTCAAACAGAGACATCACAGGACTCAACCTGGCCATTTCTAACTATCTCCTTAATCAAGAGAATCAGATTTTGACGACCGCTGTGTAAAATGCTAATCAAAAACATGTGCATTCTTATTTTACTGCAGAAAGCCCGAGACAAAAATTTTAGATTAGACAACTTAATTGTAAAATTGCAACTCAAAAGTGGAACAAATTTCAAAAAGTCGACTCAGAATCTATTAGGGGAATGTGGAACAATCTCAGCACACAAAGCGGATATCAGAAGATGTTTTCCATTTGCTCCCAAACTAATTAAAACTAATTTAATAGCTTATAGAATCATGTGCATGATGTATTATGGGAAACATCTGACCAAGAACTAAAATGTAAATTCAAAAAAATTGAAATGCAACCTCCACTGAGCAAGAAGTTAATCATAGTTTTCAAGATATTCTGTTAGAAACCCTGACTGAGGCAAAAAGTACTAAAATACTTTAACATGGGATCTAAGGAGAATCATTTTGGTGCAAAAATGACAATCCCACATCCTGAGCTACAGGCATGCAATATATTGGCTTAAACTGTCTATGATTTAAAAAAAAAAAAAGGAAAAAAAAAACAGTTGAAAGTTGATGTGAGAAGTGGTGTCTGACCTGAGCAATTGGTAGAAAAAGGCTGCAGAGACTGCTGAGAAAGAGACGATGAAGATACTGGCATGCCGGTCTTCCCTTCATCCTCTAGAGGGAGACAGTGGTGACTATCGCAGCCCTCCACAGAGTGAATCTGTCTGTAAGCTTCCTGAACAGACTCCACCTCTGACCCTCCACTCTGTGCATACAACTGGGCTGCACAGAAAGCACATTTAGATGGAGAAAATCTGGAAAAGCATTTTCTCCATTTTAAGACTTGACTTTATGTTGATGTTAAATCATTGGAACTACTTCTCAGTGCACTCTTCCACAGAAAAGGCTATTAATAGTATAATGAGATGTAATGTGATGATGTGCTGAAGCCAGTGCGTCAGAATGAGCAGGGACTTCTTCAAGAGACAGATGCTCAATTTCAGGGCATCAAATATCTTGAAAATCATGTTAGATATATGCAGCATTTTCATAACAACTGTTTCTCAGTTATAGAGAAATACTGAGAGAAATGTATTTCTCCAACATTTATAACATTTCTAACCAACATTTCTGGGACGTAATGCAACGATTTGCTGGATTATGTGTTCGGTGGTTTTTAACAAAGAAAAGTTTCAGTACCAGGTTGAGACCAGTTTGACTCAACACAACGTTTTTCTGCATTGAGCTACACACCCTAGCTCCAAAGATTGACCATACTTGGAAGCATTCTGCTCTAGTTTTATCTGACATATAAATATATGTCATATATAACTGGTAAAAAGGTCCTGGAAATGGGCCAGCTGTTGAACATTTGACAGTCACACCTAAGCAGTGAAACATTCATTCCCCTACCTCTTGCAAGATCTGGGGACAATTTAGAGTTCTGTGAAAGAGAAACAAATGTTGATTACTCAAACAAATTAAAAGAAATGCAGAAGTAATAAACCTACTTATTAGTGTGCTGTGATTATTTCAGCAAGACATGCAGCTGACTTTCTGTAATTATGTTCGTGACAGAATTTTAACAATTCCAGCCAATTGCTGGTCAATAAGACATTGACAATATCTAACCTAGCAAAAAAAAAAAAAAAAAAAAAAAAAAGCAATGATCAAGGTAGACTTTTTTTATTCAATAAGGCAGACAATACACACAGTGTACCAGGCCAGTATTAGAAGGAATTTCAACAAGTAGTGGAAACCAATTACTAATTCAGTTAATGTGATTTTATTTTACGTCTTCTTTCAGTTTCTGTTCATGCAGATACCATTGAGCTCAACTATATCTAGAGAATTATGTAAAAAGAGAAAAAAGTTGTGAAATGTTTTGGTCTCCATCACTTGGCTCTATTAAAGCTTATGTATTCATGTGCATAACTTGCACAACTATTTTAGACAGTACACTTTTATTTGTTGAAATGTTTGCATGAAACACAACCACAGTGAAAGCAACACTGTATTGGCTACTGCAATTCCTTGTCTGTCAGTCATTTGACAGATACACCTAAGCAGTGTGTCTGTAAAATGACACCCTGATTAGGTGATATTTCACCACTGATCTGAAATATTTGTACGGAAATACTACAATAATCAAAGCAAAACAATTAGTTTCCGAAGAAAAAGAGTTTGTTTTTCTCTTGGATTCTGCCCTCACATAATTAACTAGAAAACATAGTGGTGATCACATCTTGGACTGTGAAGCAAGTATTCAAGTGCTATCGACTGTACCTGTGTATCAAAAAAGTGCCTGCTAGTTCATTGGAAAGAAAGCATCCAGATAAGACCATCCCTAGTACTAGACATATAGACATGTTCCAAATTATACAACATATTATGGTCACACTTCACTCATCATACACTAACAATGATGAAAACTGTGTGTGAAATGCTTTAGCTTAGCTGCTATTATCCATTTAAGATAATTTTGATCTTAACAACAGAGAGTAAATAGAAAAAGTGATCTCATTAACATTTCATAATAAAAAATCTAAAAGGGGATTTATAGTTACAGCCATGCATAATGCATCTTAGATGAATGTTAACTAAGAAAGAAGATAAAATAGCTAGACAGTGAATTTTCAAACCTTCGCTTGCAACTCTTTTATGCCATCCTCATCTTCAAAATCTTCACTGTATTGTGAGGAGCCAGAGTGGGCTGAGAGAAAAGAGAGATGAGGAAACCCAGAGAGACTCAAACAGGGTTGTTCCTCAGAATTCCTACCTGAAGACTCTCCCACAGATTTTGCTGAAGCAGAAGGCTCCGCTGCTGGCTCATCCTCTTTCCTACAAGGAAACTATTTCATTGATTTCATCAACTCACACTCCAGGAACCAAGGAATCATCGTCACACAGATGGCTTTGTCATCATCTCCAAAGATCAAAAGTTGGTGCCGAAAAGTAATGTTAGAACAGTCAAATGACAGAGGTTTGTCATTTGATTTCTGTCAAATCCTCTATGGGGAGGTATGTTCCCCTATGTTCCCTGCACAGCAGAACAGCAGAACATACAGTACCTCCCACACAGGGAAATCTGTTTAAATTACAGTGCATTGTATCTGGAGAATGTTTACAAGATTTTTTTCAAAGACGAATCAACACCCTTAGCTGCTTCCATACCCAAGTTCAGTGCCAAAGGTAGAACGGCTTGAATCCAACTCTCTGTTCAGCTTGGAATAATCTATGACTGAAGAACCTCCTGCCTCTATCTGTGCAAAGAACCTGGCTTTCTCCTCCTCTTCCTCTAGAGTGTCCAGTCCCATAGCACTCATGTTCCCTCCTCGTGTCTTCGATGATTCTGCACAAAAACAAAAATCATCAGAAGGAAGTCTGAGCCATTCTACATTCCAATATTATTGCAGTTCATTTTAGTTTCCCACCAACTAGTTTCTAACTAGACCGTTGATTCTTTATCAGATGAACCAATGCCTCTTTCCTGACAATGATTTCAGACAAGTCATACATGTTCAAAGTTTAACATAAAGCTCCTTGACACCATCAGAGTGTGTAATCTAGTTTTTGCTTGATTAGTTTCTTTGACACCTTAAGGGGAACTGCTGGGATGGGAGGACTGGAGTTACAGGGGAGTTGCTTTCCATTTGTGAGTAATGTTTGTCATTGTACAAGGCTATAAGGCAACTTTAAATTGCCTTATAGCTCCTCCCTGACCGACTGCGAGCTGGATTCTATTGGAGGCTTCTTTTTATTAAAAAGCAGTTCTTCCTTTCCTATTGTCCCCACATGCTTCCTCACCATGATGTATTTCTTCCCATTCAATAACTCAATGCACTTGGCAGTTATTGAATGTGAAGAAGTCTGTTTAAAAAGAGGTCTGTTTAAAAAGACAGCAACACTGTGTGCAGTCTTGCCTGTGGTGTCGCCCATTCCAGAACATCTAGTGTCATCTGCCTTTTGAATAGGCTGGGAGTCCCTCAAAGACTTTCTAAAAGACTTTCCAGATCTTGGAAAAGCTGGAAATTAAGAATTAGTAATTGCTATCTGCCATGCAGGGAACATTTTACGAACTTTCTAATGCCCCTTTTCTTTAACAATGTTTATCTAACTCCAGCGACATTAAATAATTCAATCCATCTCTGATTGAATTCAGGGCTTAGCAGGTAATTGTTTACAGTAATCCACATAGACACCTAATGTGATGTCCTAGATGAGGAAACATTTACTCTGATTTTCAAGAATAAATCTACAACAAATGTAAAAAATAAAATACTACATATTTGTGCAAAATGCCACAAACACCTGCTCAGTGTTAAAGGTACTTTAGCCAATTACTGACAGATACAAAGGCATAGAACACATCAACTAAAGACAGGTGAGAACAAAAAGAATATAAAGGATATAAACACAAGGTAAGATTGTCTTTAGAGATAATAGACTATTCCTGAAAACAAGGCAGTTTGAGATTTGGAGTGAGATTACCGTCAATGCCTCTAAGGGGGAGTGCACCATCATTGTTAGCAGATGGAATGCCCTTGGCTTCATCAGGACACCTCTCTGGGACTTTCTGATGGGTTTCATGAGTGGGACATCTTTGACTTTCTGATGAAGTTCTTTGGGAAACATCAAAAGTCTTTGCTGTAGGAATCTTGTCAGATTTGATGTGTGAATCAGGAGTCTTGCTGCGAGGTTTGATAACAGGCTTTTGATGGGAATCACTCCTGACTGCTATAGGCAGCATGAAGAAAGAAAGAAAAAAGGGTAGAGAATTTTTGTGCTGCCTGAAGGTCATCCAACAGCCTGAATGTGTCATCTAAGCAGCACAGAACCTTTTTTTCTGATAATTGGTCAGTAAACCTGAATTTACCGCAATACAGGGGCTTGCAAAAGTATTCATATGTTATTAACTTTTCCGCAATCTGTGAAGTTGTTCTTACCCTTGCTGTGCTCAGTCAGGTGCTTTTGGGTTTTAATCAAACTTTGTTTGGATGACTCTGCTATGAAAAGTAAAAAAAAAAGAGTATTCTAAACAGGAAAAAGTAAATTGATTTATTGCAATGTCAAACAGGCATTGCTATAAATGCTTATAATGGGATGCATTACACCAATCTCTATTATTTCAGACTGAGATTGTGTTGAATAAATTGTGATGTTATGAATCAAATATTTGTTATTCTCATTCATCTTTATAATGTATCTTTACTTATATGCTTTTAGTGTTAAATTTCATCTTAGAATTAAGGATGTTTCTGTATTGTTGATTTACTCTGATTCCTTTCTCAGACGGCCTCACTGAAGGAAAGCAGTGACAGCAGGTTTCTGCAGGGTTATCTCTCGGCGGGAAGCAAGGCCTCTTTGACCTGCTAGATTGCTATAAAACTATGACCGTGAAGATGTACAACTTGCTCTGTTTAACCCTGTGTCTGGAACGAGATTATCAAGTGCAAGATACCTTGTGTTTTAGTTAGTGATTGTCATTGGCGCTGTAGCTATGTGATGAAGTGTTTTCCCCTCCCTTTAGAGTTACAGCGTTCTTTGTTATTATCCCTAATAACAAAGACTCTGCTTCCTGATAACAATAAAAAGAGAGGAGCAGGCAAAAGTGGTTTCAGAACGGTAGGAGATTGTAACTGAAAGCACATCTCTGTCTGTTCTCCTTGCGAGTGAAAAAGAATCTATCGCTCTTTTCTTTCCTGTTTGTTTAATCTGTGTTTAAACTTGACAGATTGTGTTTTGCTCCTCAATTAAATCAAAACTCTTACTTTTCACTCAGAAATGTAAAAGGAAGTCAAATTCTGGCTGGTTTCTTTTAAGTTGTAAGTAGCACATGGTGCTACATATGAGATAATGGGACGCGGGGAGAGAACTGTAGTTTCACTGTGTTAACTACAACTCACTGTCCCTTCTTCAACCTTGTACATTAGGAACCAAGATGGAGCAGGAATAAAGTCCAACAAAGTTCAAAATGGAACTGCCAGATGCAGTGTTAGCATTCAAGCTCTTTTACATTGCTGGGGTTAAAGACAAACAGCTCGCTCTTGCCGCCTGTTCCACCATCTCTTTTGACAACATGAAATCAGCCTTGAAAAGAATCTTTGGCAATAACATCTCTTCACCACAACAGGGCAACTCCACTTTGTTCACCAAATACACAGGCAAGAACAGTGTATATCAAATAAAGAACTTGAAAAAACCACACTGATAAATTAAGTGTGCAATAAAAATTGGTAGCCCGTACGGGGATCAGCAGTGCTTCAATAAAGAGAGAGGGACAGTGGCACAACAGCGATGGAGTTGGAGCAACTGCAGGACCAGCTAAGTGAGGCCCTGGTGCAGTTGAAAGTGGTCCAACTACAAGAGGTGTGTTCATATGGAAATGTCTCAACAGAAAATCAGACCAGAAAGCACAAGCTGATCAGACTAATAGATGCAGCTGTACATACAGCTATAGAAAGTGAGGAAGAGGATGTGGCTTGTGAATTCCTCAGTAGATTAATAGCAAAAGCTCAGAAGTGAGCCGATATGAGATGTCAGAGATGGTTGATGATGCTGTGAATCAGGACAGTGCTGCTCTTGCAAGAACAATATGCAGCATTACAGCTAAGTTACCAGGCTGCAACGAAGAAATTAGAGGGAGAAATGGCAAAATTGGAAAACAAAGTGAAAAACAGGAAACATCACCACTTCCAACACAACCTGTCAACCCCTTTGCAGCTCATCCACTAGAAGTTACAATAAGAAGAGAGTTTAAAATTAATGGCCAAATTGGAGAAAGAGGTCAGAGAGACAAACTGTCCTATTCAAACCTGATCCATCAGATTGAAATGGGCCTACAAAAAAATTATACAATGGAGATTATAGAGGCTGTGGTCAGAGCTATTAGCCCAGGTCTACCCTTCCGTGATATGCTAGAGATCAAAACAGACCTTACTATTGCACAACTGCGTACAATATTAAAGGAAGACAGCTTCACTGACCTATATCATCTAATTAACATTACTCAAGATAGTAATGAGTCTCCACAAAATTTCTTGTTTAGAGCAATAGAGTTAAAAGAAAGATAGCTCGTTGCAACTAGAGAACTTGGTTCAGGGGGTTTTGGCCCAGAACTGATTCAAAAGAAGTTTCTGAGAGCAGTAGGAACAGGACTTATTAATGATAACATCAAATATCAGCTCAAGAACTTCCTGGATGATCTGACATTTACAGATGATGTACTCATAGCAAAGAGTAATGAGGCAGCCGGCATTGAAAGGGCAAGGCAACAAAAGTTCAGAAGAAATAATAAAAATCTGAAAGTGAGGGATGTTAGAACAAAAGCACAGGCAGTTCCCAAAACAACAGTTGGAGCAATTTGGAAACAAGAACAAGAATAAAGCTGGAAAAGTGAAATCATCTACCTCTCACACAGAAACTGAGCTCCTAGACGCCATCAGACAACTTAAAAGTGAGATGCAAGACATCAGGTGACTGGTTAATAACTCGTTTACCTGTTTCCAAATCAAAACCAAGTTGGAGACGTGACTGTAAACATTGCCAGGAAAACAAGAGGAGAGTTTTGTGACCATTGCTTCAAATGTGGACAAGGTGGGCATCTGTCACGTGGGTTGTTAAAAACACATGAAATAGGCCCGGAGAAACAGATATGTCTGTGACCAGCAACAGGAGATGATAAAAAGGAAAATGACCAAACAGGAAATGGACACAAGCTTACTAATGACGGGTTTCCAAACCACAAAGCATGGTTTGAAAATGCCTCAATAGTTTTATAATTCAGATTTCACCCCAAATCAACAGGATGATAGATTCAAGAAGTGGATTTCGAAAGGCCTAAATAGTTATTATTGTTTTCTCCACAAGGGGGCTTTCCAATGTTTTGAGACCTTGAAAAATATGACAACTTTTTCAAATATTGTAATCTCCCTGTGTGTTTATTTAAAAGCGCATTTAAATAATCTTAGATTTGTGAAAATGTTCATTTTATTAACTAAATCAAAACCAGGCAATAGAATAATTTCCAGGTTGTACAATGCCCTCCTGCGGTGTAAGAAAGACAGTACTGTGTATGTTAAAGTGAAGTGGAAAAAAGAAGGCAATCTGATGATTCCAGAGGAAAATTGGAACCAAATCCCTAAAATACCACAGACAACAACAAGATTGAAGGTTTGACGTGAATTTTGCTGGAAAAGCATTGTAATACTTTTCATAACCCCAGAGCAGAAAAGATATCAGGGAAAGGGGGGGTATCGGCTGGAGATGTGGCTGGGGAAGTGCCAAATGTTTCCATATTTTCTGGAACTGTCAAGCCATTCAGCAATATTGGTCCCAAATTCATGAACATTTACAGAACATTTTCACATTTGGTTTTCCTTTAAATTTTGAATGCATACTTTTATGTAACATACCAGAGGAGAAACAGAACTATAATGATCAAAAACATCTGTACTGGTTGGAAGCAAAAAGGCCCTCATAAGAAAATGGCTCAAATGGGAACCTCTAACAGTACTATACTGAAAGAGATTTATGTATTGGATAGACTTTCTCTGTCGACGTAAAGAGGGACACTTTCAACAAAATATGGTCAAAGTTGACGAAATATTTCAAACCTGTTATGGCGGATTTTTTGTAAACCTTCCTATTCAGATTGAAGCTTTGATTTGAAATGTGATGTCAATGATTGGATTATATTCCGGCTACCCTGCCACCCCCCACTTGAATTCTGGTTTGTTTTTGTTTCATTTTTTGTTTGTTTTGTTTTTTTCTTGAGAAGAGTGAAAAACGAGAATAAAATCAATATAATTCTATTACTGTAAAAAAAGAAAATGTTTTTGGTGTCTTTTCTTAGGTCGTAGTCACACACAGAGTCCTTCAGGCAGACTCACCGCCACTGCTGTTTTCATCTTGCCACCATAAAACTGTCGGTTTCTGACTGGATTTCTGGCTGCTTCTGGTTTTGGGCTGCTCCTCAGGGCTGCTTAAATCCACAGAGTCATCTGAAACAGACTTTTAGACACTGGATCAAACAAAATGCCGAAACAATGACAATCCAGCACTAAGAAAAACAAAATGCAAGAACTCAGACGTAGAAAATCTACTAGGCTATTTTTCTAATGCCTCTTTCCCATTTATCTGTGCTACCCATAAATCTGTCCTACCTTGTGGTCATGTGCATGCACACATCGATGCTACGTCACATACTGCTTACTCAGCAGATTTCTTATAAATACGTCCTGCCTGTGAAAGTTTTGCTTCATGTGTTTTATGTTATCGCAGATTATGTTAAGCTTTATTTATTCCATACCTGGCTTTCATTAAGCTGCTGAATTATTTCATGGTTTTAATTTACATGACAGGCAGCTTGTAAATATATTTATAAATGGCTATAGTTTGCTGTCTGCAATGTTGTACTGTAAACAAGTTATTATTTGGCAATTAATCAGGACAAAGTACGTTGTTTTGTTGGGTTTTTGTCCCTATACTTTAAAATATTTTATTTTAATAACACTCTTTATTACTAAACCTTGCAAAATTTATGTTGGTAGCAATACTATGTGAGATTGAAGCTGTGTAATAGCGATATAATATAAGTGTACATGGATCATATCCTATCATTTCACGTGCAGAGTGACCTGCACAGTTCAGTGGACAGACACATTGTGGCTGCGCTGCATTTAATCAGGTCTGTCATACAATGGATTAATGTGCAAAAAGGAGTTGTGGTGATCTGTGTTTGTCTCTAATTTAATTCCAATAAAAACCTGTTTCTCCTGTCTGATACTCTTTTATTCTAACAAACGCCTCTGTATTTAAAATATTTTTTTTAACTGGTAGGATATTCTAGTGAAAGGATTAGTGCATATATCTATAGCTTTTTATTTTAAATGGGTAGGATATTCAGATGAAGGAAGTGATCTTCTTGTGGTTTTGTCATGGATATAAATTGTTCCAATGCTAAGCTAAGCATAACTCCTAACCTTTCACTTCAGTCCTGTCATGTTCAAACAATGTTATCCAATATAATTAACATTAACACAACCCGATATAGTTTTCTGTTTGTAAACATGACTGCAGGAGTTTTGGACGCACTGACAGGGAGACTTAGCTATCTATCCGTGCTACAGTAGGAAAATCTGACGAACACCGGCTCCGCTCGGGTCGCTTTCAGAGCTTTTCCACCAGCTTTTTTTCGGAGCTCGCCCTGCTTTTTAGGGTCCTGCTCCTGTTCACTGATTGGCTGTGGGCGTGGACAGACGGAGCAGCAAAGAGAGAAGAAAACGAAGGCGCAACGTTTCAAACTCGCTGCAACAAGGAAGTTATGGAAGATACAAACAAGCGGTGAACAAAGATGCAGGTGTTATGCAGAGAAACGGATGCCTACCGACCTTTACATCCCCTGTCGCGGGAGAGCGCATCGCTCTAAACTCTCGCATATTGATGAGGAAACGGATTGAAATCTGACAGAAGAGGAAACTTTTAAAGATATTTGTAAAATTATCACGTTTCTTAACCATGTAAGCCATAAAACAATGGGGTTTATTCTGCAAATTAATTAAAAATAAATACGGTTTTACACCTTTATTAAGACACGAGTCGAGCGTTTTTCAGTGTCTGATGAACATGTTCTCCGCAGCTGTTTGAAATTCCCCCTTTTTTTTCTTTTAACACCATAACGGCTTAAAGCATTACAAAACCGAGGCCCATTATGTAGAACACTCTATAATATAGAGTGTCAAACTCTGGCCCGTGGGCCAAATTTGGCCCGCAGTGTAATTATATTTGGCCCACGAGGCTATACCAAATGACTACTTGTGCTGGCCCACCGGTATTATGCAGCGCATTCATTCATTGCTAATACTACAAATTCCATAAAGCCTTGCTGTTGTTTTGGCACGTCAATCAGGACGGGTCCCAGAAACGCCCTCTCCTCTGTGACAGTAGTTATAGCGATCTCAAGCTACAACTGTCATTGCTAACAATACAGAAACATCCTTAATTCTAAGATGAAATGTAGGTTTGAACTGTTCAGTAATCCCTTCGCAGTTAATGTGGAAAACGCACCGACCAACCTCCACTAGGAGCTAATTGAACTCCAGTGTAATGATACGCTGAAGTCACAGTATGATGCTGTGGGCGTCGCACAGTTTCCACAGTTCATCCTTGACACAATGCTTCAGCTCCGCACCCAAGCTGCTCAGATGCTCTCCATGTTCGGCAGCACTTATCTATTTGAGTAACTTTTCTCCTCGATGAAGATGACCAAAACATCTCACAGGAGACGTGTGACTGATAAACATCTTTGCTCGACACTGAGGATTGCCTCAGCTCCAAGACATGGGCTTGAATGGTTGATTGATTTATTATTATTTTATTTTTAAAATTATTATTATTTAAATTTTCTTTAATAAATGAATGTCATTGATGTTTGTTTTTTTTTATTTGAAATTCGATTTCAAATAAAAATAACCATAACCCTAACCCTAACCCTCTGGACTATTAAGTTATATATTGTATAGAAATAAGTGTTGCTTGTTTCATATTCAATGTTAAAGCAAATCTTGTTTGGGTTCATATTAAAAGGTTAATTTGTTCAATGCTGGCCCATGACTTTGTTCAAGTTTGACACCCCTACTCTATCCTTAACTGTAGTCTATGAATGTAGGGGGGATGCATTTTAATTTCTGAGCCAGTTAATATTTACATCCAGTCTATTGTCCTGTTGATATGAAACTTATAGTAGTAACTCAGAGAACAAGTGTCATTATAAAGAAAAGGTGAAATCCCTCTTAACTCTTTATTTCTTCATGTTAAAAGGGGGATGCATTTTTTGGCAAAATGGTTTTTGTTCCTTCCAAAATTTGCATGCCCTCTATTATTGAATTGATGTCAAACTCATACCAGTAGTTCATAGAACTACTTTGATTATGTAAAAAAAGTTATTTCACTCTTAACTTATTTCTTCAAGTTAGCAGGGGGAGCAAAGCCTATTTTTAGCCTGCTAAAATTTGCATGCCCTCTCTACTTACCACAAATATGATCCTATCTATGTGAAACTCATACCAGTAGTTCATAGAACTACTCTGGTTATGTAGAAAAAGTTATTTCACTCTTAACTCTATTTCTTCAAGTTAGCAGGGGGATGTATTTTACGGCAATATGGATTTGGTTCCTGCTAAAATTTGCATGCCTGCTCTACTTTCCTCAAATATTATACTATTGACGTGAAACTCATACTAGTAGTTCATAGAACTACTCTGATTATGTAGAAAAGTTGAAATCCCTCTTAAATCTTTATTTCTTCAATTTAGCAGGGATATGCTTTTTACGGTAAAGCCTATTATTAGCCTGCCAATATCTGCATGCCCTCTCTATTTTTCTCAAATGTTATCCTATTGACGTGAAACTCAAAACCAGTAGGAAGCAACAAGGTGAGAAAAACTAGAACAATCATTGTTTATTATAATAAAAAAATTTCATAATTGAATAACTAGAATGTTAATTTAACATTTTATCCCCTCGACAAGCACATTATGAGAAGAAGCAAAGGCATGAAAGTGTCGAAGTGGAAATATGAAAATACCATCCAGCAAGATGTCGTTTCATGTGGTGTGTTTGCTCACGGACCTCATTTGGTTGGTGAGGGGTTTTTTCCCCTCATTTGAAGTGTGTTCCTGATGCTTAGTGCCAAAGTCAAATTTCAAACTGAGAATTTATCCAAGAGTAGTTTTTAACCCTTAAATGTCAGTTTCTGAGAGCTTACTCGCTACCATTTTGTTAAGTGCATTACCTCTTTCAGGAACTTCCTAAACTCAGCATCCAGCTCTTCCTTAGTCTGTCTAGAAGACATTGTATTAATGCTCCTCAGTTGTGGACTGAACCTGAAAAAGAATCCCATGAAGTATAAATTAATAAGCAAAGTAATTTCTTGTACAATGCTGCAGTTTAATGCTCATCTTACTTACATATTAAAAGATATTTTAATACAATAAATTTCCATTTGAATTTCCTGTGTTATTACAAATGTGTGATATATTTATATAATATGTGTACTTCCTATGTTATCATATTTTCAAGTATATTATTTTGAAGGCATTATCAATAGAAACATATCATGAATAACAAAGATAAAATAGAAAATTCCTGAAGAAATTTAACCAGGGCCTGCCAAGGTGTGCCCATTTTGGGCACACTTTGGCAATTATTTGAATTTCTTTCTTAGACAGGAACCCAGTTCCTCCATTATTATTATTATTATTATTATTATTATTATTATTATTATTATTATTATTATTATTATTATTATTATTATTATTATTATCGTCACAGTTCTGATTACAGACACTCTCAGTGAGTGCTGGTTGGAGACATCCTCAAGGAAGCGGATCCAAGTGGAAAACCATTTGGATCAACCCATCGATATAATCTGCCCATTTTGGGCACACTTTGTGCCCGTCTTTGGCCCAAAAGCGTTACTGCTTTTAACAACAGTGTTCTGATGCTAAAAATTAGCTTCAGTGCTAAGCTTGGCAGCAGAATTACACAGTATCATGTGGAGAATCACAAGAATATTCACTAACATGGACTTGCATTATTCAGTATGTTAAAATGAGTGTATAAGCTAAAATTAGTCAAAATGCTAATGTTAGCATGAATACTGTCAGTAGCATGTGGGGCATCACTAGCATGTTGTCTGTAATTGACTTACTCCATTCAGTATATTAAAAATTGCGAAAAAGTAGAAAAAATAGCTAAAAGCTTATTTACGGAAAAAGGCTAATGCTCTGCCCTATCCCGAGAGAAAAAGAAAATGCTGGCTGATCTCTTTATTGCACTGCCTACAGCGGTGCACAAGTTTGTGCCCTAACTTGACAGGAAAAGACAATACAAGCTTATATCATTCTAACCTCAGAGCTGTTTACACTTGTATGTTGTATTCAACATATTTCAGGTAAAAAGTGAACATGTAATGAAATAGATCCCATCCTAGAATTTTATGTAATTGAATCAAATCAAATCAAATCAAATCAAATTTTATTTGTATAGCACATTTCAGCAGCAAGGCATTTCAAAGTGCTTTACATCATAAACACAAAAACACAAAGTCATGCAACATAGAATAAACAATACATTGCTCCATATTACGTTTCAAATACAATTCTAAACAGGTGCGTTTTTAGTTGAGTTTTTAAGGAAGTCAGGGTTTCTGCTGTTTTACAGTTTTCTGGAAGTTTGTTCCAATTTTTTGGTGCATAGATGCTAAATGCTGCTTCTCCTCTTTTGGTTCTGGTTCTGGGGATGCAGAGCAGACCAGAACCAGAAGACCTGAGAGGTCTGGAAGGTTGATACAACAACAGCAGATCTTTAATGTATTGTGGTGCTAAACCCTTCAGTAATTTGTAAACTAACAACAGTATTTTAAAGTCTATTCTTGGAGCTACAGGGAGCCAGTGGAGAGTCTTTAAAACTGGTGTTATGTGCTCTGTCTTCCTGGTTTTAGTGAGAACGCGAACAGCAGCATTCTGGATAAAATTGCCAGGATCAGTTTTTCTAGATCTGGCTGAGACATTAGTTCTCTAATCCTGGAGATGCTCTTCAGGTCATAGAAGGCCGACTTTGTAACTGTCTTTATGTGGCTCGTAATGTTCAAGTCCGAGTCCATCACTACTCCCAGGTTTCGGGCCTGATCGCTAGTTTTTTGTTGTCATAACTGAAGGTGTGCATTGACTCTAGATCATTCCTCTTTCAGGCCAAAAATAACTTCAGTTTTGATTCTGTTCAGCTGGAGAAAGTTTTGGCACATCCACACATTTATCTGTTCTAAGCATTTATTCAGTGATTGGACAGGTTCAGAGTATAGTCATCTGCATAGTTATGGTAGTGTTAAGAATTAAAAGAGGAATAACTTGATTTAGCTCGTTAATTCATTCCTCTGATCCCGGATTCTTTAGCCTCAATATGCGCAGGGAGAAAGAGCAATCATACAACATCAGACTTCAAATAACTAGAGTTTTATCCAGAGAAAATCAATGCACAAAGGAATGTTACAATAAGCAATCTCACCCAGATTATCAAAAGTCCAAGACGTGACAAAACAGAAATAATTGCACGAGTTGAAAGAAAGCAAGCACAGAAAATGCATTTTCCGGAAATTGCGAACTCGGGCAGAAAGCAATTTGAATTCTCTGTTGCAAACGAAAACTTTTATAAGCCTGTGCCTTTCTCTAAATTTAAATATATGCATTAGGAGGTGTGTTTTCCTTTGTGGGGGGCTGTCTTAATGTTACTTTTATTACCTCTGCTAAAGAGCCCCAAAGGCAGATATATGGATTGTCAAACTGGGTCTTTGCCGTACCAGGCGTCTCTTGCAAACCCTCCCTCGGCTAAATTTACGACCTATGTCTGTTTTGGTTTTCTGCCTCAGTGATTGAACTAGAACGTGTTTTGTTTTACTGAAACAAAATCTAATGCTAAATACTAACTAGAAGTGTGGATCTAAAACTAACTAATTCAAAACATGCTTAAAGAAATATATTTAATTCTAGTATGGATAAAATTATTTATAAAAAGTTTTAAGATCCTAGTGAACTTATGAACCACACTAAGGAATGTGTTAATTGCCTGGCAGACAGACTCCCTGTCTATAGATCAGTTAAGGAGTCTAGGTCTCTCTTTTTCTGTAGAATTCTCCTTATAGAATTTATGAATTTATGTAGTTCAGAGAATCACCAGCTGTCCCAGCCTGGATCTTTATCTAAGTTTGTTTTAACATAAAGGTTAGTCTGTGTACGATTGTGCTAATTTAAAATTCTTATTTTCAACAGTAGCTAATATTATTTCCTGTTATAACCTGTAGTCCTAATCAGTTGCTCGGCCCCACTGTGTTCCGTTGCTATGGTAATGGGTCCTCTGCCAGCTGTCATACGTGTGTGGGGTGGGTGTGTTTGAAAGAGAGAGAGAGACAGAGAGAGAGAGAGAGAGAGAGAGAGAGAGAGAGAGAGAGAGAGAGAGAGAGAGAGAGAGAGAATTCTGTCTTTGTGAGACACCCAGTCAGTCTGACTTAAAAAAGCAGTCCGAACAACTCCTTCCCGTTCGGGAACCGTGAGACATATCGGAAAACTGTTTGAAGCATATAGGGGTTACAAAGAGGACTATTTGTCTTCTCCGATAGTCCCGCGATTCATATCTGGACATCATTCACAGTAATAACAGCGATGAGATAAAAAAAAAAAAAAATGGTATGGCTGAGGTTTGAAAGTTTTCGGAAATACATTGAAGTCAATCTGGCTGAGCATGTGGAAATCCTGTCCCTTGACTTCGCTCCGAAACACCTTGACAGAAAACCGTAAGCCCTAGCAAAATTTCGAAAACATTTCACCGGAGCAGGCATGCGTATCAATGTCATGACCGAGTTTTATATAGATAGGGCAATATTTGTGGGCGTGACGGCGATTTAAACATTTATTTGGGGTCAAAATCGCACTGCTTCCCACACTCTAACGAAACGTCAGTTACACTCTAGTCCTTCCTTTCTTCCTTCCTTCCGGACCGGACCGATCGACAGTGGCTGTAATAATATTACAGTCCAGTGCATGGAGGCAATGACTGACTTCGCAAGTCAGTCATTGCTCTCCTTATGCATTGCTATGGGCAGGCCCCAATATATAAATAAAGAGACATTCTATTAGGTGAAGAACAATAAGTTCTTCACCAATGCATGGAGACAGTGACTGACTGCTCTCCTTATGCATTGCTATGGGCAGGCCCCAATAAAAATAAAAAATGAAAAGACCGAACGGTTTTCCGCTGTATTCAGGTAATTCCGGCTAACAGAGGCTCACCAGCAGCAGTTCGATTCATCTAAGGAGCTAAAACTTAGCCAGAAGACTGTTGTTTCACTTAGCGACAATGTCTCACTGGTGGGTTAGAACTACTCACTCAGAACTGAGGTTTTTGATGACAGCTGCTCAGCGCAACAACGTCTGAAACATCTTCAGTGAGTTTTCCCCTTCTGTGTTTATCTTCGTCTTTAGATTTTAACGGCAGCTTGCATCCATTACTGTTGCACTACCGCCATCTATTGGATCCTAATATCTATATCTCAAATTCTCATAATGAACCCAGTATATTTAAAGAAAAGAAAAATCTTCTTTTCCCCCTCAATAGTATTTAACTGATCAACCACATTCTCAAATGTCAATTTCCTATTAAAACCAAATCCCTTTTTAATAATCTTCTTTGATTTACCTATTTTTTACAACCAATAAAAACATGTTCCATTGTTTCTACAGAATCACACTAACTACATAAATCAGTACAATGTTTCCCCATCTTAAAGTGTTCCATTTAAAAAACTGTGATTGGTTCTTATTCTATTTATAATTATCTCCTCCCTCCTGTTTATTCCTCTAATCCTTACTACATCAACTGTATTTTGAATCCTATATAAATGCCTTCCATTTATTTCATTATCCCACCTAATTTTCTCTCCAAACTATACTTTTGCCTTCAGATTTAGATAACTTTACTGGCTTATCAATATCTTCTTTTTATAATAGCCTCCTTAGCCTACCTATTTCACTACTCAAAATACCTACATGAGCAGGAGTCCAAAATAATATTACATTTTAATTTTTTTCATATCTCTGATGAACAGCCATAACCTCATATAATATATTTTGATGATTTGTACATCCCTTTTCAATACTCAACAATGCAGATAGTGAATTACTACAAACTATTATTTTATTTATATTCGTATCCTCCACCCATTCTAAAGCAAATATTATAGCACATAATTCTACTGCAAATATATACTCAGATAATTAGATGTTCTTTTTGAAATATTAATCTTTAACTCAGGAATCACTACTGCTAGACTAGTTGCTTCATTTTTGGGGTCTTTCAAACCAACAGCATACATTTTCAAATAATCATTACATTGATTCTGTATTTGATCATAGAAATCTTGGCAAATATCTGTTATATTTCCTTTCTTAATATTTGATAGTGATATGTCTATGAAAATTTATGTCCATGTCCATATAGGTCTCAAAGGCCTCAATACTGCTGGACAAAATTCTTAGTCATGTATATTAAATGTTTTTGCTCTGTCATGGCCATCCCTCCCAAAACTATTTTTTTTTTCCTTTCCTCTTTCCCAACAATTTCGTAATACTTTCTTAACTGGATGATCTTCTTTATGTCCTTTTAAATTTATCCAATAATTAATCATGATCTGTTGTCTTCTAATGCATAATGACATTTGTCATGATTCTTCTTGTAAAGCACTGGAGTTGATTTAAATGCCCCTAAACAAATTCTCAATGCTCAAGCTTGAAAAATATCAAAAATATATTTTACCTAGTTTTAGCTGCTGAACCATTTCCAACATTTTTAAGTGATTCAAAACATGCACCCCATGCCAACCCTGCTAAACACCTCATAATGTTAAGAACAATTTTACTTATCTCCATAATATGTTCTATGTGACTTTCCCAAGTTAGTTTCTCATCAAAAACTACTCCCAAAAAATGAAAACAGTCAACCCTTTCTAACTCTTTCCCGTATAAATACTACTTTTTATAAACTCCAACTTTTTTATTTGTAAAAACACTACTTTTTATCTGTTGAAAATTTTAAACACTATTTAGAAATAGTGTTTTGCCCAAAGCTCTTTTCAGTTCTCCAATAGGGAAGGGATAATTCATAAGATCATTACTCTCCTTCCTTCTTAAAATTTCATAATTTTCCCTTTTAGTTTTCTCTCTGCCCAGAATTTCATTAACTGATTAATTTTTCCGACCATGAATCTCCACAAACGTGCTCACTAAAATATCAGCCTTTCAGTTACTGCTATTATATTGTTTTTATTAAGTATCGGATAACTCCATTCTCTTCTATCTCCCCTCATTTTTTTGGTCATTCCCCAGATTTCTATGATCTTTGTACTGCTACCAATTTTATCTCAGAAATCTCTCTAATATACTCTTTAGCTCTTCTTATTGTTCTTCTTATTTTTGCCTGTGATTTTTTATATTCAATTAAATGTTGATTTACTTTTCAGCAAAATATTGAAAGTTAAGCTTTATAATCTTTGAAACAGCATAGAAGTACTGGGAAGCAGTATATTTTAGTGTTTTGAACAATTCTAGTGTTGATCTCAGTAAAAGAAGTCAAAAATCAGAATAAGACGAAAAAAGCTTTCTCAGTGAAATAAGTCAAAAATGCACCACTGTGTAATTTTCTGCAAATTCATGAAAGTTCAGCTTTATAATCTTTGAAACAGCATAGAAGTAATGAGAAGCAGTATATTTTAGTGTTTTGAACAATTCCAGTGTTGATCTCAGTGAAAGAAGTCAAAAATCAGAATAAGACGAAAAAAGCTTTCTATCAGTGAAAAAAGTGAAAAATGCACCAATATGTAATTTTCTGCAAATTCATGAAAGTTCAGCTTCATAATCTTTGAAACAGCTTAGAAGTACTGAGAAGCAGTATATTTTAGTGTTTTAAACAATTCCAGTGTTGATCTCAGTGAAAGAAGTCAAAAATAAGACTAAGACAAAAAAAGCTTTCTCTCAGTGAAATAAGTCAAAAATGCACCACTGTGTAATTTTCTGCAAATTCATGAAAGTTCAGCTTTATAATCTTTGAAACAGCATAGAAGTACTGAGAAGCAGTATATTTTAGTGTTTTGAACAATTCCAGTGTTGATCTCAGTGAAAGAAGTCAAAAATAAGACTAAGACGAAAAAAGCTTTCTCTCAGTGAAATAAGTCAAAAATGCACCACTGTGTAATTTTCTGCAAATTCATGAAAGTTCAGCTTCATAATCTTTGAAACAGCTTAGAAGTACTGAGAAGCAGTATATTTTAGTGTTTTGAACAATTCCAGTGTTGATCTCAGTGAAAGAAGTCAAAAATAAGACTAAGACGAAAAAAGCTTTCTCTCAGTGAAATAAGTCAAAAATGCACCACTGTGTAATTTTCTGCAAATTCATGAAAGTTCAGCTTTATAATCTTTGAAACAGCATAGAAGTACTGAGAAGCAGTATATTTTAGTGTTTTGAACAATTCCAGTGTTGATCTCAGTGAAAGAAGTCAAAAAGTAAGACTAAGACGAAAAAAGCTTTCTCTCAGTGAAATAAGTCAAAAATGCACCACTGTGTAATTTTCTGCAAATTCATGAAAGTTCAGCTTCATAATCTTTGAAACAGCTTAGAAGTACTGAGAAGCAGTATATTTTAGTGTTTTGAACAATTCCAGTGTTGATCTCAGTGAAAGAAGTCAAAAATAAGACTAAGACGAAAAAAGCTTTCTCTCAGTTAAATAAGTCAAAAATGCACCACTGTGTAATTTTCTGCAAATTCATGAAAGTTCAGCTTTATAATCTTTGAAACAGCATAGAAGTACTGAGAAGCAGTATATTTTAGTGTTTTGAACAAATCCAGTGTTGATCTCAGTGAAAGACGTCAAAAATAAGACTAAGACGAAAAAAGCTTCCTCTCAGTGAAATAAGTCAAAAATGCACCACTGTGTAATTTTCTGCAAATTCATGAAAGTTCAGCTTTATAATCTTTGAAACAGCATAGAATTACTGAGAAGCAGTATATTTTAGTGTTTTGAACAAATCCAGTGTTGATCTCAGTGAAAGAAGTCAAAAATAAGACTAAGACGAAAAAAGCTTTCTCTCAGTGAAATAAGTCAAAAATGCACCACTGTGTAATTTTCTGCAAATTCATGAAAGTTCAGCTTCATAATCTTTGAAACAGCATAGAAGTACAGAGAAGCAGTATATTTTAGTGTTTTGAACAAATCCAGTGTTGATCTCAGTGAAAGAAGTCAAAAATAAGACTAAGATGAAAAAAGCTTTCTCTCAGTGAAATAAGTCAAAAATGAACCACTGTGTAATTTTCTGCAAATTCATGAAAGTTCAGCTTTATAATCTTTGAAACAGCATGGAAGTACTGAGAAGCAGTATATTTTAGTGTTTTGAACAAATCCAGTGTTGATCTCAGTGAAAGAAGTCAAAAATAAGACTAAGACGAAAAAAGCTTTCTCTCAGTGAAATAAGTCGAAAATGCACCACTGTGTAATTTTCTGCAAATTCATGAAAGTTCAGCTTTATAATCTTTGAAACAGCTTAGAAGTACTGAGAAGCAGTATATTTTAGTGTTTTGAACAATTCCAGTGTTGATCTCAGTGAAAGAAGTCAAAAATAAGACTAAGACGAAAAAAGCTTTCTCTCAGTGAAATAAGTCAAAAATGCACCACTGTGTAATTTTCTGCAAAATCATGAAAGTTTAGCTTTATAATCTTTGAAACAGCATAGAAGTACTGAGAAGCAGTATATTTTAGTGTTTTGAACAAATCCAGTGTTGATCTCAGTGAAAGAAGTCAAAAATAAGACTAAGACGAAAAAAGCTTTCTCTCAGTGAAATAAGTCAAAAATGCACCACTGTGTAATTTTCTGCAAATTCATGAAAGTTCAGCTTCATAATCTTTGAAACAGCATAGAAGTACAGAGAAGCAGTATATTTTAGTGTTTTGAACAAATCCAGTGTTGATCTCAGTGAAAAAAGTCAAAAATAAGACTAAGATGAAAAAAGCTTTCTCTCAGTGAAATAAGTCAAAAATGCACCACTGTGTAATTTTCTGCAAATTCATGAAAGTTCAGCTTTATAATCTTTGAAACAACATAGAAGTACTGTGAAGCATTATATTTTAGTGTTTTGAACAAATCCAGTGTTGATCTCAGTGAAAGAAGTCAAAAATAAGACTAAGACGAAAAAAGCTTTCTCTCAGTGAAATAAGTCAAAAATGCACCACTGTGTAATTTTCTGCAAATTCATGAAAGTTCAGCTTTATAATCTTTGAAACAGCATGGAAGTACTGAGAAGCAGTATATTTTAGTGTTTTGAACAAATCCAGTGTTGATCTCAGTGAAAGAAGTCAAAAATAAGACTAAGACGAAAAAAGCTTTCTCTCAGTGAAATAAGTCAAAAATGCACCACTGTGTAATTTTCTGC